AATATATATGCCCCAAACAATGGTGCAGCTATGTTCAAACAAACTCTTCTCAAGTCCAACAGTCAAATTGACCACAACACAATAATCTTGGGTGACTTTAACACACCTCTCTTACCACTGGACAGATCTTCCAAACAAAAGTTGAATAAAAAAACTATAAAACTCAATGACACAATCAATAACTTAGACTTAACTGACACATATAGAATATTTCAACCTGCATCAAACAGAAACACTTTCTTCTCACTAGCACATGGATCCTTCTCTAAAATAGATTACATACTATGCCACAGAGAAACTCTTAGCATATATAAAGAAGTTGAGACACTACCATGCATTTCATCAGATCATAATTGTATGAAATTGGGAATCAAAAACAAAATAAAAAATAAAAATTTCTCCATCACCTGGAGACTAAACAATAAGCTACTGAATGAACAATGCATTGCAGAAGGAATCAAGGAGAAGATTAAAAATTTCTTATGGGTAAATAAGAACATAGATACAACCTATGGAAATCTGAGACACTATGAAAGCAGTACTAAGAGGAAAATTCATTGCATGGAGTTTATTCCTTCAAAGAAAAAAAAAAGTTAACAAATAAATGACCTCACACTACCTCTCAAAGCCATAGAAAAAGAAGAACAAACCAGCAGCAAAAGCAGTAGAATGCAAGAAATAATTAAAATTAGAGCTAAAATCAATAAAATTGAAACAAAAGAAACAAATGACAAAATGGACCCAAAAAAGTTGGTTCTTCAAAAAAATAAATAAAACTGACAGACCCTTAGCCATGCTAACATAGAGAATGAGAGAGAGAGAACTCAAATTACCAGTATATGTGACGAAAATGGTAATATCACAACAGATATAACAGAAATACAGAGGATAATTTGAAATTATTTTGAAATCTTATACTCCAATAAAATAGAAGTCATTGAAGTTATCAACAAATTTCTTAAGTCATACGATCTGCCCAGATTGAATCAGGAAGACATACACAATTGAAACAGACCAATATCAAGTGATAAAATAGAAAACAAAGCTTATCAACCAAGAAAAGCCCAGGATTGGATGGATACACAGCCGACTTCTAAAAGACCTTTAAAGAAGAATTAATACCAACACTCTTTAATTTATTTCAGGAAATAGAAAAAAAGTCAGCACTTTCAAACTCATTCTATGAGGCCAATATCACCCTGATCCCCAAAACAGGCAATGTCACATCAAAGAAAGAAAACTTCAGACCAATATCGCTAATGAACATAGATGCAAAAATTCTCAATGAAATTCTGGCAAAATAAATACAAAAACATATCAAAAACATTGTGCACCATAATCAAGTGCAATTCAGCCGAGAAATTTAAGGTTCTTTCAACATACAGAAATCAATAAATGTAATTCATCAAATCAATAGATGAGGGCATGATGTAACATTTGGGGCATTTTGCATCAGAAAGGAGGAAATATAACTTGATGTAAGGCATGCAACATGTAGGGCATGTTGCATTAGAAAAGAGGAAACCTAACTTGCTGACTGCTACCAACTTCCAGGTCGTGGGGTCACTCCTGGGGCACGTGTGGCTAAGATAGCACCTGGCCATCAGCCAGAAAGCATTACTGTGGGTTGTGAAGAAAAATCAGACCACCTCTAGGATAGGCTCAGAAACCTTCCACCATAGTGGACAGCTTGTGTCACCCATTACTGCCTGTAGGATAAGTGTACACATGAACTCTCCCCACCCTGCTGACCTTTATGCTGATTGGCTCCTGTACATTATATTAGCTGTGTGTGTTTTCTCATTAAACGAGATCCTTCTTGGACTAGTCTCCCTGAGGTGTCTGATTGTCCTCTGGTGAGGGAGGGCTGGGTGCAGAGTGGTCAGTGGGCCCTCTCCTATCTTGGCTCATCCTGGTCAGGGCATGCTCTCCCCATCTCTCCTGAGGTCAGGAGGGAATGATACTAAAAACCCCTACAAATAGACTTAAAGATAAGAATCATATAACCATCTCAATAGATGCAGAAAAAGCATTTGACAAAATACAACACCACTTTATGTTCAAAAGACTAGGGAAACAAAAAAAAAAAAACAACTAGAAATAAAAGGAACATATCTCAACTGTGTAAATGCTATCTGCACTAAGCCTCAGGCCAACATCATTCTAAATGAAGAAAAATTGAAGGCATTCCCACTAAAAACTTGAACAAGACAGGAATGCCCTTTTTCATAGTCCTTTCTTGGCTCATCCTGGTCAGGGCGTGCTCTTCCCATCTCTCCCATAGGTCAGAAGGGAACGAGGGCTAAAATCCCCGACAAATAGACTTAAAGATAAGAGCCATATGACCATCTCAATGTTCTTTATGTTCAAAACACTAGGGAAAAAAATAACAGGAACATGTCTAAACATAGTAAAACTATCTACACTAAGCCTCAGGCCAACATCATTCTAAATGGAGAAAAATTGAAGGCATTCCCGCTAAAAACTGGAACAAGACAAGAATGCCCTCTTTCACCACTTCTATTCAACATATTTCTTGAAACCCTGGCCAGAGCAATTAGACAGATGAAAGAAATCAGAGTGATATGTATAGGAAAAGAAGAACTTAATTAGCTCTATTTGCTGATGATATGATTCTATACCTAGAAGACTCAAAAAGCTTCACCAGGGAACTTCTAGAACTAGTAAATGAATTCAGCAAAGTAGCAGGATATAAAATCAACACCCATAAATCAAAGGCATTTCTGTGTAACAGTGACGAATCCTCTAGAAAGGAAATGAGGAAAACTACCCCATTCACAATAACCTAAAAAATAAATAAATAAATAAATAAATATACATACTTGGGAATCAACTTAACAAAAGAGGTGAAAGATTTATACAATGAAAACTACAGAACCCTAAAGAGAGAAATCAAAGAAGACCTCAGAAGATGAAAACATCTAACTTGCTCTTGGATAGGCAGAACTAATATTATCAAAATGACCATACTACCAAAACCACTATACAGATATAATGCAATTCCCATCAAAATCCCCAAGGCATTCCTCATACAAATAGAAAAAGCAATCATGAAATTCATCTGGAAAAATAAGAGATGCAGAATAGCTAAAACAATCCTTAGACTGAAGCAGGTGGCATTACTATACCAGACCTTAAACTATACTACAGAGAAATAGTAACAAAAACAGCATGGTGTTGGCACCAAAACAGACTGATAGACCAATGGGACAAAATAGAGGACACAGAGACTAACCCAGAAAATTACAATTTTCTTATATTAGATAAAGGTGCCAAAAACATGCACTGGAGAGAAAAGCATCTTCAACAAATTGTGCTGGGAAAACTGGAAATTCATAAACAACAAAATAAAATGAAACTGCTAGGTCTCACCATGCACAAACCTCAAATCAAAATGGACCAAGGACTTAGGAATTAAACCAGAGACTCTGCATCTAGTAGAAGAAAAAGTAGTCTGTAATATTCATCATGTGGGATTAGGGCCCAAACTTCTTTCTTAAAAAGACTCCTATAGCACAAGAATTAAAACCAAGAATCAATAAATGGGATGGAATAAACCTAAAAAGTTTCTTCTCAGCAAAAGAAACAATCTGTGAGGTGAACAGAAAGCCTACACCCTGGGAGCAAACTTTTACCCCTCACACATCAGACAGAGCACTAATCTCTATTGTATATAAAGAACTCAAAAAGCTAAGCACCAAAAATAAATAAATAAATAAATAAACAAACAAACAAACAACCCAATCAACAAATGGGCCAAGGACCTGAACAGACAGTTCTCAGAAGAGGATATACAATCAATCAACAAATATATGAAAGAAATGCTTATCATCTCTAACAATCAGAGAAAGGCAAATCAAAACTTCTCTAATATATCATCTCACTCCAGTCAGAATGACAGCTATTATGAAGACAAACAGCAATAAGTGTTGGTGAGGATGCGGGGAAAAAGGCACACTCATACATTACTGGTGGGACTGCAAACTGGTGCAGCCAATTTGGAAAGCAGTGTGAAGATTCCTTGGAAATCTGGGAATTAAACCACCATTTGACCCAGCAATCCCTCTCCTCGGACTATACCCAAAGGACTTAAAAACACCATACTACAGGGACACAGCCACATCAATGTTTATAGCAGCACAATTCACAATAGCTAAACTGTGGAGCCAACCTAGATGCCCTTCAGTGGATGAATGGATAAAAAAAAAAAAAAAAAGTGGCATATATACACAATGGAATTTTATGCAGCAATAAAAGAGAATAAAATCATGGCATCTGCAAGTAAATAGATGACATTGGAGAAGATAATGATAAGTGAAGTTAGTCAATCCCCAAAAAACAAATGCTGAATGTTTTCTGATATAAGGAAGCTGACTCATAGTGGGGTAGAGAGGGGGAGCATGGAAGGATTAGATGAATTCTAGATAGGGTGGGGGGAGAGGGAAAAGGAGGGGACAGGGGATTAGCAAGGATGGTGGAATGTGATGGACATCATTATACAAAGTACATGTATAAGGACATGAAATGGGTGTCAAAATTCTTTATATACACAGATATGAATAATTCTGGTATATATGTGTAATAAGAGTTGTAATGCATTCTGCTTCGATTTCTTTATCTAAAATAAATGAATGAATCAATAAATAAATAGATAAATAGCAAGCAAACGGGTTTTCCCAAATGTAAATCCTTTTATGTCTTTGAATAAAACTGTCAAAATTAAGTACTGCCCAACATTGCTTATCCACAGGATTTTCTTTTTTTTTTTTTTTAATATTTATTTTTTAGTTTTCGGTGGACACAACATCTTTGTTTGTATGTGGTGCTGAGGATCGAACCCGGGTTGCACGCATGCTAGGTGAGTGCGCTACCACTTGAGCCACATCCCCAGCCCTCCACAGGATTTTCTAGTTTGTTTTTTTCTTTCTTTCTTTCTTTCTTTCTTTTTTTTTTTTTTAATACAACTGAACAAAACTAAAACATCTGAACCCTTTGTATTTCTTACTTGCATAGGATTTATTCATTTTGGCAGGAATCTTTCCAAAAGAATCTTTCTAGTACTCAGAATAAACTGCAAAAATTAAAAGATTTCCCACATTTTTCACTTCACATGGCTTCTCTCCATGAGTATTTTCATAAAAGACAAGAAAAATAGGTCTGGAACATGAAGCTGATAAAGTGTAGCAAATCGCCCCCATTCAGAGTGTTTGTTTTCCAGTGAGTGAAATGGCTTTGAAGACAACAGGGAAAATGTAATGATTTGCCATATTTTTTCACATTTAAACAGTTGTGGTGATGTATGCCTTTAATCCCAGAGACTTGGGAGGCTGAGGCTGAAGGATCACAAATTTGAGGCCAGCTTCAGCATTTTAGGTAGACCCTAAGGAACTCAGCAAGTCCCTGTCTCAAAATTAAAAATATAAAAAAGAATGAGGATGTGTCTCAGTGGTAGAGTGCCACCAGACCAAAACTCCAGTACAATCCCCAGTACAGTATTCAGCAGAGTGAGCCCTTTTTTTGTGTTTGAAGGTGACAAGAAATATTGATTCACCACATTTCACATTTAAAGAATTTTTCTCCAGTAAACTTCCAACATGTTGATGAGAAGAACAGTGATAAAAGAAGACTTTTGTCAATTGTTTTCATCAGCACAATTTCTTTGCAATATGAGTTTGTTCATGTAAGTGAAGCTGATGGGATATAACAAAGGCTTTTCCCCATTGTTGACATTCATAGGGCCTCTCTCCAGTGTGAGTTCGTTCATGTGAGCAAAGATGAGAGGACTGAGTGAAAGCTATGCCACACTGCTTACATTCATAGGGTTTCTCTTGAGTGTGAGTCCCTTCATGTCTGTGAAGGAAAAAGGAAGAAATGAAGATTTTTCCACATTGTTGGTATTCATTAGGTTTCTCTTCTGCATGAATTCTTCCATGTATGTGAGGTTCAGTGGATGTGTCAAGGCGTTCTCCACATTGTTGATATTCATAAGGCTTCTCTCCAGTATGCTTTTTTTCATGTCTGTGAAGATGATGGGATTGAGCGAAGGCTTTGCCACACTGCTTACATTCATAGGGCTTCTCTCCAGTATGTGTTCTTCCATGTCTCTTAAGGTGACTGCATTTAGCAAAGGCTTTGCCACACTGCTTACATTCATAGGGCTTCTCTCCAGTATGTGTTCTTCCATGTCTCTTAAGGTGACTGGATTTAGCAAAGGCTTTTCCACATTGTTGACATTCATAAGGCTTCTCCCCAGTATGAGTTTGTTGATGTTTGTGAAGCTGAGAAGATCTAGCAAAGGCTTTTCCACACTGCTTACACTCATAGGGCTTCACTCCAGAATGTGTTTGTTCATGTATGTGAAGGTAAAAGGCAGTAGTGTAGACTTTTCCACATTGTTGACATTGATAGGGCTTCTCTCCTCTATGAGTCCGTTCATGTCTGTGGAGGGAAAAAGAAGTAGTGAAGACTTTTCCACATTGTTGACATTCATTGGGCTTCTCTCCAGTATGGATTTGTTCATGTATCTGAAGGTAAGACAAAGTAGTACAGGCTTTCCCACATTGTTGACATTCATAGGGTTTCTTTTTCATATGAGTTTTTTTATGTGAGTGAAGGCTAGAAGACTGAGCAAAAGCTTTGCCACACTGCTTACATTCATAGGGCTTCTCCCCAGTATGAGTCCGCTCATGTATCTGAAGGTAGGAAGAAGTACTGAAGGCTTTCCCACATTGTTGACATGCATAGGGCTTCTCTCCTGTATGAGTTTTTTCATGTGAGTGAAGGTTAGAGGACTGAGCAAAGGCTTTGCCACACTGCTTACATTCATAGGGCTTCTCTCCAGTATGTGTTCGTTCATGTCTGTGAAGGGAAAAAGAAGTAGTGAAGACTTTTCCACATTGTTGGCATTCATTTGGATTCTCTCCAGTATGGATTTGTTCATGTATCTGAAGGTAAGATGAAGTAGTGTAGGATTTTCCACATTGTTGACATTCATAGGGTTTCTCTCTAGTATGTTTTCTCTGATGTATTCTAAATAAACTTCGGTAAGCAAAGTCTTTCCCACATACGTTACATTTAAAAAGTACTTTCCCAGTGTGCGTGATCACGTGACTGTGAAGACTTGTGGGTGAAACCAAGGTTTTACCACCTTCTTTACATTCATGGGATTTCTCTCCAGAATGAGTTCTTTCATGTTTTCTATATAAAGTGGGGGAATGAAAGGCTTTCCCACATACCTCACATTGAAAAGGTTTACCTCCACTATGTGTTCTTGTGTGTCTTTGAACACCTGTGGGAGAAGAGACTTCATCACATTGTTGACATTCATCAGGTTGCCACCCAGTATGAGAATCTTCATGCCTTTGAATGTCATTGGAACAACTGATGACTTTCCCACATACTGTATTTTCATAGGGTCCATCTCCAGTTTGTGTTAACATTTGTGTGTGAACACTTTTGAGAGAAACCAGAGATTTCCTGTATTGTTTCAATTCACATGGCTTCTCTTCACATTCTTCATGCTTGTAGCGTTCGTGTCCATAGTGAGATGTGATCTGCCTATGAAGGAATGAAGGGCATATGAAGTCTTTGTCACACATAATACAGTCACATGAATTTACTCTATTAAAATTTTTCTTTGCTTAAGAATTGGAATCTCATTGAAAGTTTCCCCACACTGTTCTTTGCCTTTGAAGTTTAGCATATGACTTCTTTGAAGAATGACCAGCACATTATTAATACTTGATTAATTCATGTTGTATTTATTTAAGGTCCTAGGCTAACGTTACTACCAACATGAGGTAAAGCCTAGGTTTTTCAAACTTGTTCAAATTGCCAGAACAAAGAGATTGAGAGGAAACAATGCTTTGCAACACAGCTTGCCTATGGTTATTATCCAAATAGTGATATTCACATATGCAATTTCATAATACTTTCTGCAAGTCAAGCACTTTGAAAAGACTGAATATCTTTTACAGTTAAATTATATAATTTATTTCAGTTGTCAATAGACTTTATTGATTTAAATGTGGTGCTGAGAAGAGAACCCAGTGCCTCAAGCATGCTCTACCACTGAGCCACAACCCCAGTCCCAGTGAAGTATATATTTCTGGTAAAAAATCTTATAAGAATAAATACATTTAAAGTTGTGCAAATTTCTTGCATTGGTTTTAAAAATTATATGGCATTCTCAGATTCCCTCAAGGATTCCTCTTGTGAGTACAATTACCTTACATTGCTTCCAGAATGTTTGATCTGATCTTCAAAGTTCTTCTCATCACATTTGTTTCCTAAAATGCCAAACCACATCATTTAAAATTTTTTAAGAGCTAGAAATGATTTTTCAAATCCTAGGTGCATTTTATGCTACAATAATTCACCAACTGATTGTCTTTCCATGTTCTACATGAATAAAAAAAAATTAACACAAATTCTCTAATTAAATAAATACACAAATTATTACCTATAGATGCCAGGTTTCTGAGGACTTCCAGCATCACATCTCTGTAAAGGTTCTTCTGGGAAGCATCCAGCAAAGCCCACTCCTCCTGCATGAAGTTCACAGCCACATCCTCAAAGGTCACTGAGATCTAAAATATCTCACAAATGTGTAGTGGAGGCCAGGAGAGATTTGACAGCATGAGAAATCTATACTCAACATGCATGATGTTCACATGATTCCCTGGCCTCCCGATTAATTCCATGATTTGGTCATTGAAATCTTCAGTGCATTTAATACTTCACAGTCACTCCAACAGTAGAATTGGGCCACACACAAGGTAAATACTAGAGTGTTGTACACCCTTCCTGTGGTGAGTTCACAGGAAGTAAGAGGGGCTCCCGAGTCACCCTTATCTTATTTGTTGATTGTATCTCTATCACCTTCTTACCAACATCCTGTGCAGTAGAGAGCTAATATTAGCACTCTCCATATTACTTACCCTTAGAAAAGAAAGCTGACTGAGTAGGAAATTGCTGGGATCACAAAACTCAGCATTTGAGAGATCCTGCCAACCACAGTGGCTCATTGGGCCTACACAGTTAATATAGACAACATGGTATTTACTGATCTCCTGTTTCCTTCTGAAAGTCAATTGTTCCATCCTTAAAGAAGTGCCTAGAATCAGCCCCAACTCACACCCTCAGAGTATGGAGTCACTAAAGAGTTTCCCTCATAGACAACAGTTAGACAATCTTCCACACAGATTGTCACAATGTGTTCACTGGGGACTGAGCTCAACTTGGGTGATTACACTGAGGACAACTATAAGTTTGCAGGTGCTTTACTCCCGAACAAATTTACCCAATTAGTTATCAAGCACATTGGTTAAGACAACAATAAAATAATTTCTGGTGGTTAATGTCAAAGCAGAATGGGGTGTGTGGAAAGATGGCATGTGTCCCTGAAAACTCGATGACCCCAAGATGTCACCTTGTCCAAACAACAGCCTTCAAAATAATATCGGTTTGAAAAATGGTTTTCTTAACATACAGCAGAAAATCCTTTCCCAAACCTCATGGCAACCATGAATGTCCAATGATTGTCAAACTCTTCTGAACAGCAGATGTCTCACTCAGATAATGTACAGTCAGTCATGAGACACACACCACCATTCTGCTCAAGGACATTTTGATAAAGATAGGCCACATGTACAATGATGGTCTGTCATCAAAGAGATTCCTCATTCCTGTAGCACAGCTGGTGCAAGGAAACCTCAGGCACAAGCACTTCCAGGGTTTGTTAAAGCAGCAGGTTTGCAGCGCAGAATCCTGAACTATCCCACGCTGACTGCTTGTGAAACAGGCCACTCCACGTGGGTCTCTAAGCAGGCTATGATTTCTGCACAGTGTGGAACAGCCAAAAGGACCACCTACCAGAACATGACCCTGCCACTCACAAAGAACCATGCTCAAGGACTTAAGACACATGACATTTGAAGCAGGACAGTATTCAACAGAGGTTGGTAGGAGCCAAAAAAAAAAGCCTTTAGTGGGCTGTTCTTTGTAGCATGGAAAAAGTATGAGTGATAGCAGGTGTCTTGGAGACAGATCGCAATGATGGTCCAGGCAAACTGAAATCTAAGTGGCAAAGGGTACTTCATCCATCTATTCTGCAGACAAATATCGTTTATTATACCTTTAACTGTGAAAGACTAAAACATATTTCAAAAATTTAAAAAATATATATATAATTACTACCCACACACCCCCAAAAAAGAAAGGCAAGACATCTCAAACAGGATTCCATGACACACTTAAGACCTGCCACCAATTTTCTACTGTTATTTCCAGACAACAGAAATTGAGTTAAAACCTCCTAATTCTTTATTTTATATATTTTTTTTTAGTTGTAGTTGAACACAATAGCTTTATCCTATTTATTTATGTGGTGCTGTGGATTGAACCCAGGACCTCGTATATGATAGGCAAGTTCTCTACCACTGAGCAACAACCCCAGCCCACATTCTAATTCTTTATATGGCATATTTTACCATATTATCAAAATTAATTACGTAAAGTATTAAATAGAAAACTATGAAAGACTCTCATGATCATGAATGCAAAATTCCTCATCAAGCAATACTTTATTGAATCCAAAAATAAATAAAAGAATTATAACCACAGCCAAGAGGAAATTATTACAGCTCTGTAAGACTGATTCCAAATTTAAAACTCAATTAACATTATCCAGGGACCAGCATACTACTGTGGAAAGTCAAGCCCAGTGGCCCAGATCCACTCACATGGGCCTCTGAAGGGCCCAGGAACACAGCACACATGCAAGGCTGATTCAGAATTGAAAAACCAATTAACATTATCCATCACAACAAAAAGCTAAATAATAAATATGAAGCTGGGCATGGAGGCCATGACTGTGGTCCTTGCCAATCAGGGAGCCGAGGCAGGATGATCCCAGCTTTGAGTCCACCCTGGGAAATTTAGCAAGACTCTGTTTCTAAACAAAAAATTAAAAGTTTTGGGAATGTACCTCAATGGTAGAGCAGCCCTGAGTCCAACACCCAGCACCAAAATAAAAAAGAAAAACAAACACACACCACTAATAAAAGAGAAATATATAAATCTAACAAAAATCTGTATGACAAAAACTGCTAAACTCTAATAAAAATATCAGAGACAAGGAAAATATATGGAGATACTTTATGTTCACAGATGGGACGCATCAGTGTTACCATCAATTCTTACCAATTTCATTCATGGATTCAATATAATCCCAATAAAAAATCTTTTAAGTTATGTTTTCAGTAACAAAAGATCCAGAACAACCAACACAGTAATGAACACTCAATTCACAGGATGAACACTACCTGGGGTTAACAACTACTAAAAATCTACAATCATCAAGACACAGTGGTTTTTGGCACAGTATAGAAATATTCCACTGATCTTTGACAAAGGAGCAAAGGAAAATCAATGGAAAATATACTCTTTTGGACAATGTTGCCAAAGCACCTGGACATTAATTAACATATAGAAAAACAAAACATTCTCATTTCACACATGTCACAGAGCTCCCAGTGGAGCCTCAGTCTCAAAGTAGGACACACAGCTGGGGCTGCAGCTCTAGCAAAGCACCTGCTTGGCACATAGGAGGCCCAGGGTTCACTTGTCGGCACCAAAAAATTGCCTATACATTGTAGTACCTAATGCAAAATTTCAAACTTCACTAAAATAACAAAGAAGTACTTACAGAGAAATCTGGGCTGGCATGACAGCTTCATATGCAACATCAAACACATGATCTGTGAGTGAAAAACTTGTAAATAGAACTTGATCAAAATGAAGTTTGCGTTTTTCAAAAGATGCACTTGAGAGAATGAGAAGACATGCTGGAGAACTGGACAAAATGTTGTCAAAACACATAGTGACACTTGGTTGGTATTCAACATACATGAAGAATACTCAGTAAAAAAATAAGCAACCAACTCGAAAGTGGGAAAAAGATTTAGAAAGACACTCATTCAATAAATAGGCACAGTTAATACATGTGTGAGAAGATATTCACCAGCATATAATTAGGAAACTTCAAAATGAACAATGAGGTGCCACCAGATACTCACTGGAGTGGTGAAATGCCAAACACCAAAAGCTCCAAAAGACAGTGAAAACATGAATCAGCAAGAACCCTTCCCTTGCTCATGTGAATGGAGAGAAGAACACTCTCTCTGGAAGACAGTCACACTCTCACAAAATAAACATGGTGCTCTCTACAATTAATTCACCACACTCCCAGGTGTCTATGCAAATGAGGTGAAAATTATGCACAGAAAACTTCTCAGCAGTGACTACAGCAGCCATATCCAGAACTGCCCAAAGCTAGAAGCAAGGAAGATGCACCTTTCAATGCTGAATGGACAAGCTGCAGTTTAACCACACCAAAGAACATCACCCAGAAAATGAGGTCTGCAGCCTGGAAAGACACAGCACCCTTAAATACAGACTGGTAAGTGAGAGAAGCCAGTCTGAAAGGCCAAGTTCAGTAAGATTCCAAGTCAAGAACATTCTGGAAAAGACAACATTATTGATGCACTGAAACTCTTCTGTATGATATTATTATGTAGAGTATGTGACACACAAAACACACCACACAGAGGAGGAACCCCAAGATAAAGGATGGATTTCAGCTGAGGATAAGGTGTTGCTTCATCCACTCTCTTAATAAAATGTAGGACACTGATTCAGTAACTAACAAGCATCCAAAATCAATGCAAAATGTGGAGAAACGGTGTTTGATAATATGTGTAATGGCTCATTTGAATTGTCAACCCCATTGGATTAAGAGATACCTGTGATTAAGAGGCCTCTGGGTGTGTCCATGAGGGTGTGTCTACAAATGATTGGCATATGGGATAGCAAACCAAACTGGAGAACCTCCTTAGGTATAGGCAGCACCATCCAATAGGACAGTGTCTTGGGTGGAACAAAAGTTGGAAGAAGAAGGAAGTAGCAGCAGAGTAAGCCCCTTTCTTCTCCAATGGCTGCTGCAATGGCCTGAGGATATCAGACTCTGCCTTCTTCACTCTCCCAAAGTGGACTGTGCCAGTGATTCTCCAGGAAGTTCCAGAACCTTTGGTCTGAACTGGGCAGCACCATTGATCCCTCTTGTTCTGAGGCTTCAGCCTCTTGGACTCTGCAGCTACTACTTCTCAAGCTCTCCAGCTGCAGACTGCCACTGTGGACATCCAGCTTCGGGTCAAGTAGGCCAATCTAATAAGCCCCCTTTTATAATCATACTTCCTCTTGATGCTGTTCCTCTAGAGAACACTGACTAACAAACTATGTAAGCTTAAAACTGCTCTGAAAAACAAAATTGATTTAATAAGGAAGTGAATGAACTACCATGCCATAAACTTTACCAAATATAAACATAAGAAACAATATTACATAATGAATACCTTTCCCAAATAATAATGCAAAAAATAAAGCAAAGAAGAAGAGTCATAGTTACAAATTTCAAAACTATGGACAAAAGCAAAGAAACTGATTTTCAATACTATTTCCATCTGGAAAGAAATTGGATGATAAGTCTTCAAAAGTCATTCCAACTGCTGGTGTGGTGGTGTGCACCTGTCATTTTAGCCACTAGGGAGGTCAAGGCAGGGAAACAGCAAGTTGGAGGCTCTCTCAGGAATTTAGCAAGACACCCAGAAATTTTGTGATTCTTGGCCTTCATCAACTATAAATGGGGGGACTGGCATTGTAGCTGAGTGGCAGAGCACTTGCTAGCATGTATGAGGCACTGGGTATGATCCTTAGCACCACAGAAAAATTAACAAAATAAGGTATCCTGCCCATCTACAACTATACAAAATAAAATAAATAGGTACAAAATAAATAGGAAGGGCTGAAGATGTGCTCAGTGGTCAAGTGACTGTAGGTTTATTCCCCAGTAAAACACCTGCCCACCTCCAAAATGCTGTTCACGCATTGAAATTCATTTTTTGAGGACAACATAAGCATGAGCAAGTCCCTGGCTTCAATCCCAGCACTCAATACATAAGCAAATAAGTAAACAACAGTCTACAATACTAATTTTCTTGGGGTGGAGCGTAGCTCAGTAGTAAGAGCTTGATAGCCCTCGGTTCAATCCCCAACAGTCCATGTACACACACACACACACACACACACGAAGGAAAAAAAAAAAACCTGAAAATATATGTAATGAGTGATAAAAAAGATTATAATACAAAAGATACACAACGAAAGGCAACAAAAATCAATGAAAAGACAACACACTTTCTTACAAAGGAGACTGAACTTTCCCATAATCTACACTCTTTGAAAAAACAAAGAGCATTTCAGTAAATTATGTGAAATTAAGGGCATGGATTATTGTGTTTTTTTGGGGTGAACCTAAGAAAAACTATATCTAAAATGAAAATAGTACACTGTATCTAAGACCAGTGAAAATATTGTACAGGACAGAGAGAGTAGAGAGAGCATTTATATTACTCCCAAGTTTCATTAGCTAAAAGGCTAGCTCCCAAATGGGTGGCCCTAGGAGGAGGTAATTAGGAGGGAACAGGAATCAGGTGACATGGTGGGAGTGCTTGTGAGAGGATCAGCAACCTTACTTAGACATATATATCTCTCCTTTTCAGAAAACAGGTGTCATTTATTATTTCACTGATAAATTATTCAGTGATTAAATGATCACAGTTGGGTATTTTAGGTATTGCCAAAATTGTCCTTAAAACTTCTTATGAAGATGGGTGTGATGGTGCACATCTTTAAACCCAGTGGTTCAGGGGTCAGAGGCCCAAGGTGATGTAGCAAGACCCGGACTCAAAAGGAAGAATCTAAAAGGGGCCAGGGATGTGGCTCAGTGGCTAAGCACCTCTGGGTTCAATTCCTGATACCAAAAACCACACAGCTAACATGAACCTGCCAAGTCCAGGCAACAAGGGCAACAACAAACTGTCATCCCCTGTCAAATTCATCAGCTTGTCAACAACTGTAACTAATTTACATAAAATCAAATTCATACATTTATCCACCACAATTTTTGTAGAAATGGATTCATTTTCTGCAGCAATAATGGTAGACAGAGTTGCTCTGTATCTTAAGTGGCATTCTGGAATCTAGGACATGGATTTCAATTGGAAATCATTGAAAAGACAAGATCAAATCTCACCAATTGTCTATGCATACTCAGGGATAGCAAAAGGTAAATTAGATGTTTTTGTTTGTTTGTTTGTTTTTCTGTTCTGTTCTTTTTCTTTGGTTTGGGATCAGAGATTAAACCCAGAGGAACTTTATTGATAAGTCACATCCCCAGACATAAGGCCTGGCTAAGTTGCTAAGCTGTCCTCAAGTTTGCAATCCTCCTGCCTCAGCCTCTGGAACAGCAAGGATCACAGGTGTGCACCAGTGTACCTGGCTGTAATTTTTTAACAATGGAAATGTAACTAGACTTTTTAAAATCCACTTCTTTCTTGCCTATTTAATAATAGTCTATCCCATTTGGCTCTGAAAAAAATAAACCTGGGCCTCAAAAAAGTGAGCAGATCATTTCAAAGTGATACACAGAAAGCTTTGGTGCTGAGGAAGCACACACATGTCAGGCTCAAGGGGCAGGGAAGGTCCCTGACATCTGGAACATGACCCCTCCTGTCTTGCTTCCTGAAAGCCTCTAAGATCACCCTCCCAGGGACCTAGACCATGACTCCAGTCTATGAGGCTTTTCAGGTTTGCACAGCTCTGCATTGACATGGGTGTTCCTTATGCTCTGGGAGAGGTTTCGCTCCTTCACACTGTGAGACTAAAAGGGCAGGAATCACTGGTGACCTGGCCCCTCAGCACCAGCATCCACAGGCTGACTGTCCACCTGTCTCCAAGGAATGGGAACAGAGCTTAGGAAAAAAAAGTCCCAAGGAAGTAGCTGTCTAGAGGAGGCCTGTTCCAGGAGATTCCTCAGCCCAGGGCCCCCAGCAGCTTCCCTGAGAGGCTGCACCCCACACCTCAGGCTGTCCTCTAGGAGGAGCTGACCCAGGGCCTGAAATTCTGTTCACCCTGCAGAGAGGCTGTGGGCACCTTGTGGCAGCTCCAGGAGAGAATAGTGGCTGAGGACATGGGACCCTGTGAGGCATCCAAAGGGAACCTCTGCCCAAGAAATCTGACATGGTGTCTACACCTAAGGAAGATAAAAGGAGAAGCACAAGATATTTACAGCTGTGAACTCAAGTTCTCTATACAGTTGCATCTACATCAAAGAACCTTCAGAGTACTTGACTTGGCTAACCAGACCACCATGAGGGTGAAAAGGCAGGGTTCTGTATGGAGAGCAAAAATTATCTTGGGCTATCTTAAGCCCTTTAATAGCCAATTATCTTAATTTCTGTATCAGACCACAATTCTCAAAACTATTAAATTTCTCAGAATATATCACTACCCTTACCAGACATCTAGTCCCCACCATCTACCAAAGTAAGAATATAATAACAACAGACAGAAGAAATTTCTTTTTTCTTCCTTCCTTTCTTTCTTTTTCTGTAGCCCACCAATCTGATGATCCTACCAATGCAATTGCATATGTAGTGATACAGTTTCTTTTATAAAAGTTCTTGTAGGCCAGGCACAGTGCCACACAAGTGTAATCCCAGTAGCTTGAGACTATATGGTAGAAGGATTGCTAAATTCAAAGTGAGCCTCAGCAACTTAGTGAGGCCATAAGGAACT